GGGAGGGAGGGAGGGAGGGAGGAAGGAAGGAAGGAAGGAAGGAAGGAAGGAAGGAAGGAAGGGTACAAAGTTGGGGGTGCTTTGCATCTAAATTTCCCTGAATGGCAAACAGCTCAGCTCCTGATAATATAGGCTGGGAAAGCTGTAGCCTATATATGATATGAAACTTGCTTGATTTTTTATGAGCAATGCAACAGAAAATAGAGAAAATAAACCTGGAGTCAAAGACTTCAAACTCTTTAAATTATAGCATGATGATATACTGCAAGGGTGGGCAATGCCGTGGCCTAAAGGGTACATATCTTCCTCCAAGGTTGGGTTACCAAAATTAAGGGGCAAAACCCACAGACTCCCCCACCTTTCTTTTGCAGGTTTTGTACAGAAATAAGAAAAGAATATTGCATTTTAAAATCATGGAAAAATTGCCAACACTGTCCTGTTTCCAGCAGTTCTTGCAATCTATGTAAATGTAAACAATGTGGATGTAAACAAACCATGGCCTAGTCCCAACAAGGAAGAAGCCCATCCCTTAAATATTTCAGTAGAGTTTGGTGTATGCAATCAACTGAGTTTACATAATGCAGCTTTAAATCATTTGATAGGACTATCAATATTATGGACCATTCAGATCCTTTTCAATATTTCATTTATTGTTTTCTTGCTACACACGGGTAGGAATCTACATTTATACTACTGTGTATAAACACAGACTGTACAGGACTCCATGGGCATTCTATAGAGATAAGCCATTTTCTGCCACTCACATGATCCAGAAAGGCACGTAAGTACATGCATATTAGCACGGATTTCCAAAGATATGACTCATCTCGTTCAAATGTCAGAGCCTTCACCCAAATATAAGCCTCTTCACTGTCAAATTCTCAGACTGAAATCCACAGTGGACTAGTTAGCATGCCACAAGAGAAGCTTCAAGAAGGAAAAGTGAAGCTACTTGTGCATTTGAAATCTACTGGCAGCTTAATGCATCTTTTTAATTTTTACTTGCTGCCCAAATCAGCAGGCCATTACTATTAGAAGCGAGCGATGCTTTTTCAGTCTGACAGCTGCACTGGGAATTTCATTAATATGCCGAGTGAAGTTGTATTAAGTCTACGTTGGGATGAAGAATCTGAGGTCCTCCAGATGTTTCTTAACTACAACTCCCAGAAATCCCAGTTGGAAGTAGGCTTAATGTTGGATTGATTTCTGATGCTGGGAATTGTAGTTCCACAACATCCAAGGGCCACCTTACTCTGTGTTGTAAGCTGAAAGAAGCAGTGGCCATTGTAAGTACTAATATTGCTCTTCCATTTTTCATCCTAATAAATCCTGGAAAAATCTCAACATACTTGAAAGAAATGTCCCAGGTCTCAATACACACACATTTTTTTTAAAGGAAAAATTCTCCAGCTAACTTCTGACTCAGGAAAAGTGCACAAAAACCTCCCATAACAGGATTTCCCCTCCTTGAACCCATCTCTTCTCCCCCCGCATTGACTTACAGTATACAGTGAGGAGTACGCTGGCATTAGACATTCCTACCACATTCTCAGCTATGCATGTGAGCAGGAACCCATTGTCTTCACTGGTTACATTCACCAGGGTTAAATTGATGGAATGAACATTAGTCCAGTTGGCATTTGTCTGAAAATCACCAGCAGAAAGATAGTTAGCATAAAATAAAAAAGAACTGATCCCACATCGACTGAATGTCCCAGAATAGCCTTGCCCAAATAGATGAGATTCAACTTACATCAGTTTGTTTATTAGTGACTGTTCAAAGTTACAACAGCACTGAAAAAAGTGACTTATGACTGTTTTTTTCACTTACGACCGTTGCAGCGTCCCCATAATCACGTGATCAAAATTCATCTGCTTGGTAACTGGTTCATACTTTATGACTGTTGCTGTATCCTGGAGTCACATGATCTCTTTTTGTGACCTTCTGACAAGCAACGTCAATGGGGGAAGCCAGATTTGCTTAACAACCGTGTTGCTAACTTAACAACTACAGGGATTCACTTCACTGTGGCAAGAAAGGTCATAAAATGGGGCAAAATTGACTAACAAATGTCTTGCTTAGCAACAGAAATTTTGGACTCAACTGTGGCTATAAATTGAGGACTACCAGTATGTTCCATATATCTGAAAAGCACCCAGATTGGAGGACACTGCTTTAAAGCACAACATTAAACTTTTTATAAATTACCCAAAGCCGTCTGAAATTAAAGGATGAAAGAAAGAAAAACCTTTGACATGATTCTCCAGGTAGGCAGAATAATTGTTTGAAATTCTTTTTTTGGGGGGGAAGCAAGGGAGCGTCGTTATTATTACGCAAAAATCAAGAACATTGGGGCATAACCTCAAATTGACAGGAGGGAAGTTCAGAAGTCATGTTAGGAAGTGTCACTTTACAGAAAGAGTAGTGGAAGCTTGAAACCAACTTCCAGAGGAGGTAGTGGGTCAAACATCAGTAACTGAGTTTAAACATGCTCGGACCAAACACATGTCCATCATCCAACAAAAATAATAATAATAATAACAAAATAATAGGAAGGAAGGAAGGAAGGAAGGAAGAGATGGAGGGAGGGAGGGAGGGAGGNGGGAGGGAGGGAGGGAAGGAGGAAGGAAGGAAGGAAGGACAGGGAGGAAGGGAGGGAGGGAGGGAGGGAGGGAGGGAAGGAAGGAAGGAAGGAAGGAAGGAAGGAAGGAAGGAAGGAAGGAAGGAAGGAAGGAAGGAAGGAAGGAAAACGAACTCAAAGTGCAGACTTGATGGACCACTAAGTCTTTTTATGTTGTCAGTTTTCCATGTTTCGATTTAACTTTAGCTTCTTACCTGATGCGTGTTGATAGAGCGCAGGTTGACCACAATCCAGTCAACATCTGGCAAAGGAGAACCGGACCCATTGCATGTGATAACAGCATTTTCACCTTCACAGACGGTCAGATTCACATGGCTGACACTGATCTCGGGCAAATCTGGAGGAAGCCAGCCAACATCAACAAGGGATGTTTAACCAAAGCAGATCAACATAAATTACAACCCTCATTTTCCTAACCTGGTTTTAAGCCTAATCTAACTTACAATGTTGTAAATTGAGAGTCTGGGGAGACTTAAAGTATTTTATACTTCCCGTATTTCTACAACGTCGATATGTCTCAGGGAGAAAATTTATTTTTCTACTACCCTTGTACTGGAAATCCTTGTTTAGGTAAGAGATGCTGGACATATTGCAGTACACTATGTTCGCAATTATGTACAACCGCAGTAGAGTTGTCTTCCTTCTTAACCACTGTACAGAAATGGCAGTGAATGCTATTGGATCTTTGTTTTTTCAAGACTCCTCATAAAGAAAAATGTACAGCTGGAGTCCATCCAGACACATTCAATCCAAAAATTGAGCTAAAACCTTTTTTTCACATAAGGATTAATAAGAATTAGAAGCTGATAGTTAGAAGGCTATAGAATGTTCCACATATAGCAATAATAGCCATCTTGGCTACGATAAACATTGTTTTAAAAATCCATAGATGCAAACCTGATGTGACAGTTGGCTCCATGAAGCATTCCTTTAAGGTACACAAGACTCTTTGTAGGAGAATAAATTTTTATAAATAAAGGAATCATTATTTACTAAAGCAAACTAACTAGGCTGGTCTTCTGGGAACTATCACAAAGTGTGCAACTTTGTCAAATTACCAATAACTCTTCATCAGGCAAAATAATTAAGAGGCCTGGAAAAAAAAGCGGGGGAGGGGAGAAGCAGCAGCAAAACACGTGGCTGATCTTAAAGTCACATCTGTCCTAGATTAAATTCTTGATACAGTGAATGTCAAATTGAGTTTTCTCGGGGACCATGGGTGGCTTTTCTAAAGCTTTCTGGGAAATGTTTGTGCAAATTCACCATCTGTGAAAATATGCATAACACCTGTTTTCACTGTTGCCATTCTTCGTAAGGTGCACAGATTCCATAGTTTACAGCTAATCCTTGACCGACAACCGCCATTTAGTGACTGTTCAAAGTTACAACAGCGCTGGAAAAATGATTTATGACCATTTTTCACATTTATGACCATTGCAACATCTCTGTCACACAATCAAAATTCAGATGCTTGGCAACTGGTTCATCTTTATGACCGTTGCAGTGTCCCAAAGTGATGTGACCCCCTTTTGCAACCTTCTGACATGCAAAATCAATGGGGAAGCCAGATTCACTTAACAACCCTGTTACCAATTTAACAACTGCAAGCGGTTTACTTAACAACTGTTTTGCTTAGCAACAAAGGTCTTGGGCTCAATTGTAGTCGTAAGTCAAAGACTATCTGTACATGGCCAAAGCAAAACACCATAGCTTCTTCACCCCATTCTTTAGAAACTATTCCCCTATGTCAGGGATAGGCAACCTTGGCTCTTTTATGACTCGTGGACTTCAACTCCCAGAATTCTTGAGCCAGCATGGGGGAACTATGGCCCCCTCATGACTTGTCGACTTCAACTCCCAGAATTCCTCAGCCAGTATGGGGGAACTATGGCCCCTTCATGACTTGTGGACTTCAATTCCCAGAATTCCTCAGCCAGCATGGGGAAACTATGGCCCCTTCATGACTGGTGGACTTCAACTCCCAGAATTCCTGAGCCAGCATGGCTCAGCATGGAAACCTCTCCCTTTCCCCTCAGCATGGCTGGCTCAGGAATTCTGGGAGTTGAAGTCCAAGAGTCATAAAAGAGCCAAGGTTGCCTACCCTGTTTTGCTTTGAGGATATGTTTTATGACCAACTGAAGCTTCCTTTTGAAGCTCCACTCATTCTTAATAGACGGGCAGACACATACATACATACAGAGAGAAACTTCAACAATATATTTTAGAAAGAGTGCAACCCATGCAGGAGTCCAGAACTCTGTTCCACTTTTTTCTCCTGCATTTTAACACACACACACATCTCAATCATGTTTCCATAGCAACTCGACATGCTCAGTTCCTATTAAACTGCTTTACAATCACCTTTTTCCTCCTTTTACATGTTTCCTCCCTAAATAATTGTTATTTTTTTTTCTTTGAAGTCTCCAGATCAACTGATACCTCTTCTCTTCCAGGTGGGGGGTGCCATTTTGACTGTCTAAACAGCATCCATCACAGCTTGAGTATGAGAAGTAGAGAGAATAATTTAGTGACTGGGGAGTCCTTGGTGTTCTCTAAGCTTGATTATTTGCTTGCAGATGTTTTATTACCTAACTAGGTAACATCATTAGTGCTAGTCTATCATCCACGACGTTACCCAGCTAGATAATGAAACATCTCCAAGAAATCATCAGGTTCAGGGAACACCAGGGACTCCAGAGTTCAACCTGAGTTATAGAGATTAGAGTTTAGTAAGCTAGCTTCCACTCAATCATGGAGACACAAGCTTGGCTAGAGAAAGCTAAGAATCCCTTTCATACAAGCAAGAAGAACTCCAATTAAGGTGGAAGTATCTAAGCAAGGAGAGCTTGCCTTCCAGTTGTCTTGGAGAGAACTACAGGGGCAGGCAGAGATTGAAATTTATTACCTTGCTTAGGAAATTAATGTTCATAAATCCACTCCAGGTTACAGCAAGTAATGTTTTCCCCGTTCACCTTTGCTATGGATTCAGTGGTCTTAAATGGTCCTTTCCAACTTTAAACATTTATGATTTCCTCCCCAAAAAACATATCTTCTTTGAAATAATATGCGAAAACAAATTCTCATAAATCAAATTAAATGGCTCTCTGGTGGAAATATTGTACTGGAATTCTGGTCAGCAATATAATATACCAAAGAGATGTAAGCACGAATCTCTTTTTCTCTTAATTTAAATTGAAACGGGAAGATACGGGTGTCCTTGGAATTAAGATACTTGAATTGAAACAGTTTCCTTGGCAACAGAGATCTCTTTACTATCATCCCCTATTTTCATGCTTAAGAATGGCTCTCCTCACAACTTTGATGGTGTTGCTTTTGCTCCCCAGCAAATCAAATCAAAGCAAAACAAAACAAATGGAAACTCTTTTCATTTGACTTGAACCTAGACAGGTTTTTCAGTATATTGTTCTCTGTTTTCCATGTGCAACAGCAAGAATTAATCTGGTCCTATCAAAGCTATGCTTACTTGGAACTTCATCATTGTCAAGGGTAACATGAAGGCTACTGAAATTATTTTCTCTTTTTAAGAACTGAAACTGCACTCAACAGCTCTCATGGGAAAGTCAAGGACTTGGCTTGAGTAGATATTTTTACTGCCGATGGTAAACACTTTTAGTAACAAAGATCAGCTTCTACAGACTCTAGGAATGTCATCATATATATTTCCATGGGTTCAAAAGTTTAAATACTGAATTCACAACAACAAATGTTATTATTCTATCATATCAGCAAACTGTAAAACTAACACAGAGAAAAGAGTGGGACATATTTGTAATAAATCACCACCCCTGCAGTCAATCCCAATCTAGGGTAGTCTATCCTTTTCAATATGGTCTTTCATACAAAAATGACAGTCTTGCTAATTTTGTCACTCTTTCAGTATAACAGACTGTAATCTGCTTTTCAGGCTGGACTGTGGATGCTATATGCCCTTATTTTACATAATGATCTGTCAGGACTCTACATTAAGTTGCAGTTCAGAAGATTTATTGCTCAAGCCTATAAATAAGAATTGAATCAACTAAAGTGCAAGACTAAATTGGTGTCAGATAAGGGTAAATGGATTTCAATAGGGGTTAGACTTAAACCATTTGTGGGAATGTAAGGACTCTAGGCTGATGACTTGCTTAATTCCACCTCCACCCCCAGCTCTGCCTGACCTTCTCTTACATGATCCTTGTTTTCTCCCAGGATGCTTGTTTTCCTTCTTGCTACCTCCAGCCTTCATTGCCATAGAAATGCACACATGTGCATGTTCTCAAGTATTTAGCATCTAATATCTATATCCTTCCATCTACTTCCAAAAGCACATAGTTCGGTCATAATTTTAATTAGTATTTTACTCTGAGTCAGAAGAGTTACAACTTTCCTGGTCCTGATACAAATCTACCCAAGATTAATATTAATTAAGCAAGAAAGACAGACACGAGCATCAAAATGTAATTTGAACCTTTATAGGAAGGAAGGAATCTTAATTCTTGCACCAAGAATTCTCATCTTATTCAGTTCTGTTTTGCTTTTTGTTTGATGCATAAGCTGAGATATATATAGTATTTGAATATTTGAAAGTCATCCACTATGGGTGGATCCACAGTACATTAGTTTCACTTTGGAATTAAGACCAGGCAGTGTAGAATTCCAAGATCTGGGGGACAAATCTGGAAGGCAATAATTTCAGGAGCATTTCTCCTTATGTATTATTCAAGTGCTATGTGAGGACTTTTACCCGGAGGAAAATAAATGAAACTGGTAGCCATGTATATCATTGATGCTCTGGTTCTTATCTTTTCCATCTGTTCTTTTTTTTAAAAAAAAAGGAAGAAAAAGAAAGAAAGCCACATGCAACTCTAGAATATACGGAAGACAGCCACAAAGATGCAGCTGTTCAAAATCTCAGGAGATTCCTAATAAATAGGTTTGGCTGACACACAAGGTGATAAAGCCAAAGATACGCTGATGAGAGGACCAGGGAAAAGCTGCAACTGCTACTACAAAAATAAAAGATAGCAACAGTGTGCATAAGCACATCAGTGTATACATGTGCAGATTAGACAGAAAGTTATTTGAGGAATTTGAACTTGGGAGAAGAAATTGATCTGAATTGTACTTCCTAGAGAAATGGGCAGATCCAAATTCATTTATTAATCTGCTTTGAATGCGTCCAAACATCCCAGGGAAGTTCTTAGCTCAAAAATAAAAAGAGTAAAAGATATTTTAAGTTATGTATTTTAGAAATTCATATTTATGTGTGAGAGAGAGATGATAGATAGATAGATAGATAGATAGATAGATAGATAGATAGATAGATAGATAGATAGATAGATAGATAGATAGATAGATAGATAGATAGGGAGGGAGGGAGGGAGGGAGGGAGGGAGGGAGGGAGGGAGGGAGAGAGAGAGAGAGAGAGAGAGAGAGAGAGAGAGAGAGAGAGAGAGAGAGAGAGAGAATAAATGGGCCCAACTAGGGATGAATGTACGTGAAATGAAAATGGACCAGAAGTTCATTGATGCAATCAATGAATCAATTAGAGATGTGGGGAAAAAAGGTTTCTCTAATTATTCTAGAGCAGATTTTTCTCCTAGTCTCTTGAAAAAATTAATAATTCTCTATGCACTTCAATTTTGTAATGCTTATTCACCAATGTATATCACTCAGTAATAATTAGCAAGAAATAATAATAATCACTGCACCCCACTCATTTGCCATTCTCCCCAGTTTTCCAGACGTAATCAGGATTGCATGAGCCCTTGCAAACCCATATACTGCAGTATTTTTGGATTTTCAGGCACAGTAATTACAACTCTGTACACACACACACACACACACACACACACCAATATTCCTGCAATTGTGGAGTTATTTGAGCATGCTGATCCTCTCTGCATTGGTAATGGTGCTATTTGGTCTACATGAGCAATGACTCAAAGCCTGAATATCAGAAGTAGAAGGAAAGATAACAATGCTGGAAGATCAACAGGTACCCAATTATATACACTTCCTTACCGCACTGGTTGATATTCAGCTCCTGTATGTGTATGTGGCTGGTCTCCATGCCTGTGCAGTACAAGTCCTGGTTCTGCAAATTGGCTTCTTCTCTCTCCTGCCACAGCTGGATCCAACGGATATCACAGCTGCAGTTAAAAATATTATTTTCCAACTTCCTGCGTAGAAAGAGAAAGTTTAGACTGTGAGAAAAGAGAAGCGAAAGGAAGGCAAAATACCCAAATGGAGAGATGGGCAGAAAGTAGATCTATAGCCCAGTTCAGATATGACATGAAGGTGATGATAATGTAAAAATCTGATTCATTTAGCATCTACCCCCATGAGAGTAAACCTAACTTTATGACAGGTATTGATAGGTATTGATTGACATTCTCCATAGAAAATTTTAGAATTTTTCATTTGTGCTATAGAATAACAAGAGTTGGAAGGGATCTTGGAGGTCTTCTAGTCCAACCCCCTGCTCAAGCAGGAAACCCTATAACATTTCAGACAAATGGTTGTCCAATCTCTTCTTAATCAACAATGATTCAGATTAATCAACTAAACTTCAGTTGATTAATCTATTGGATTCTATGGGAAACCTCACAGCCATTACTAGCTTAGTGTGCCGATAACAGTACAGGGGAGGATCAAAATGAGACCATCATTACTGAATTATCTTTACTGAATTTAAGTCATAGCTTTTTTCCCCCCTTTTGAAATATCTCCTGTTTCTTGTTCTAAACACCTTGACATTCATAAGGTCATGGAGGGATCATGAGTTTTCATTTAGCTTGTCTCCTCTTCTCCTTGCCCAGACATGCTCAATAAATTCAGGACTCTATCCATAATACCCCTGTCTTAATGCATTGACTATGAGCTCCTGCTGCTTAGGGAGATGAGGCAACTTGCAAGCCATCATGCAATTTAATTGAATGAAGCAGCCAGCTTTGTATACTGTTTGACCTCATTGACCCAGCTGGCAATGCTGATGTTTTAATGTACTCTGTTTAAAAGACACTTACATTTTATATACTGATATTTATTATTATTATTATTGATATTTTACAACTAGCAGTATTGCTGTATGCCTGAAAGTATATTTGCTTTCCCTTAAGAATTTACAGTTTCCATGCAAAAAGATAATGCTGGTAGATCTCTTGCGGGCATCTAGAAGCCAAAACAGAGTATTTGAATACTGGTGAAATGTTCAAAAAGAAGCAGAAATAATATTAAAAATAATAGGAATGACAGGAAACCAAAAACAGTGGCCAAGTTGGCTCATTTTCTTTACCCATGTTTCCCTGAAAATAAGACCAGGTCTTATATTAATTTTTGCTCCAAAAGACCAGAAGGCAGGACCAAAAACAATGGTTGGAAACTGATCAAAGAGAGAAGCAACCTGGAATTAAGGAGAAAGTTCCTAAAAGTGAGGACAATTAACCAATGGAACAGCTTGCCTCCAGAAATCGTGGGCACTCCATCACTGGAGGTTTTTAAGAAGAGACTGGACAGCCACTTGTCTGAAATGGTATAGGATCTCCTGCTTGAACAGGGGGCTGGACTAGAAGACCTCCAAGGTCCCTTCCAGCTCTATTCTATTCTATCCTGGTTAGGGCTTATATTCGGGAAAATACGGTACTAAATGCATCCATCTGGCTGACGATCCTAATTGGGGCTTATACTATGAGCATCCATACTTATTCAAGTTGCCAAGTTTGAGAAACATGGTTTTAATTGGAGGAATCCCATAATTTTGGAGCCTCGTTCCCTTTGCTTGCCAAGTCTATGTTCTGCCCTGTAGCAATTGTCCTTGCAAGGGTTTTTTCCTACCTCCCTGAATTTACGCATGGACTTAGCACCGTAGACAATTCCAAAGTGAAAAATAAAGATATTATAAATACTTTCCCCTAAAACTGGCCTGCTAGGGAGAGCTGCTATTGCAACCCTTATAGAAGCAGAACTGTAAGTAATATAACACAGCCTTTCGGATCATTCCTAATGCATGAGATTCTCCTATGAATAATGTAAAAGCCCCATGCTGAAGAAAAGGGACTCCTCCATTGGCTTGGCCTAGCAGTATCGATAGTATAATGCAGCTAATGGCAATACTTAAGGGGGCTTTTGTGCAAATTAACTCCCAGCTTTTTACTGGACATAGCACATGTTTAATAGTGTACTAGTGTTCTGCTCCTTTGGGACTTAACCAATGTTGAGTTTCTTCTTCTTTTTTTTAACATATATCCCTTGGCCACCTCCTAAGTAAATATAAGGAGAGGGCGAAAGGGAAGTGCTTCGCTTAACACTGCATTCAATGTGGCAGGACTGATCTACAGCTACTCCTTGACTTACAACAGTTTGTTCAAAGATACAATGGCCCTGAAAAATGTGACTTATGACCGTTTTTCATAGTTACGACCTTCGCAGCATCCCTGTGGTCACGTGATCAAAATTCAGAGGCTTGGCAACGATGTAACAAGGATTACACTGTCCCGGGGTCACGTGATCCCCTTTTGCGACTTTCTGACAATCAAAGTCAACGGGGAACCCAGATTCGCTTACGAACCGGATTCCTAACGTATCAACTGCCGGGATTCACTTAACAAACTGTGGCAAGAAAAGTCGTGAAATGGGGCAAAACTCACTTAACCAATGTCTCCCTTAACAACAAAAATTTGGAGGCCCAGTTGAGGTCGTAAGTCAAGGACTGCCTGTGTTTCACCTCCACACTTAGTTTGTGCTGTGGAGAAGATCTTCTCTACCTCACAAAGCATTGAGAAAATACTAGCCATCTTTACCGGCAGTTCCTTCTCAAAAGACACACATTCAGGTAGTCTTCAGCTGATGGCCAGTTGCTTAGCAACTGTCAGACGTTATGACGGATCCCCTCCCCAAAAAGATACCCAATTTTGAAGTTACAATGGTCACACTCCCCCCCCCACGGTCACATGATTGCAATATGGATGCTTGGAAACCGGATGATGTAACGCGACCACATTTTAAACATATTTTTTTTTGCTGGTTTCCTGCATTTACTTTCTGTTTTTGAAAAGAAAAAAATTCATTAGGTGTAATGGATTTGCTTAATGACATGGCGTTCACTTAATGAGTGCCACAAAAAAAATGTGATAAACTCAGGTTTAGTCATCTGTCAACCTGTTTAATGACTACAACTGCTTACAACTATAATTCTGAGCTCAATCTGTAATTGAGCTCAGAATTATAGTCATAAATCGAGGGCTATCCGCAGAAGAGTCACCTTGAACCATGAGATGGGCAGCAAATGAATTGGATAAATAAAGAAATAGATACATAAATAAATACGAATGAATGGAGCAAAGGAGAATGGGCAGCCTGTTCCACTGTTTAGGACTGTTTTACTTTGAGGGGTGGTTTTCTTGCTTGTGTCACACTCTGCACACACCCTGGAAGTGAGATCAAGAGCTTCCCTCTTCAACTAGGGGAATTCTGCTAAAGAATTAGAAAGAAGTTCAATCACAAATTTTTCTCTTATCAAATTGATTGAATCCTGATGCATGAGGAGGAAGAATTGCTTTGCTTTGCACTAGTTTGACTAAAGTAATAAAGAAGAAACTAGAAAAATTACACATTCAAAAGAGTTTCCGTGTAAGCGGGGGTAAATTAGTTCTATTCTTAGCACCCTTTTCAGAGTTATTTTTTTCCTTTCGTTGCGGCCATCTGCTTAAGAACCACGGAAGTTGGAGCTGGACCCAGACTGGAAATTTCCTCCTGAGGAGATGTGATTCAGCACAGTGTATTCTTGGAAAGGGCAAGTGAGTTTGGAGTGGCATTTTAATTTGTATAAGAGTAGTGAAGAAAAAAGGATGGAGATGGGACAAGCTTGGAGGGAGAGTTGTTTTACAATGGGGTTCAAAGAAGGATTAAAGACTTCCAAGGAAGCAAAGGGCTATGATTTGGTTGTTATCAGAAACATGGAGTGATTATTTACTTTTGAGTATGGCATTTGTTGAATAAAGGTTGAAAAGATCATTACTCCTGAATTTGTTTTCTACCACTTCTTGCGTCTGCTAAAAATACATTTGCTTTTATGATTTTGTTTGAAAGAAAAATAACAGGTTACAGGTTTCTCATGATTAGGGGGTGCTATTCCTTCTCTTATTTAAAGCTGAGAGTCTCTTGGACTGCAAGGAGATCAAACCAATCAATCCTGAAGGAAATCAACTCTTACTGATGTTTGGAATGACAGGTACTGAAACTGTAGCTCCAATACTTTGGGCCACCTGATATGAAGCAAGGACTCATTGGAAAAGACCCTGATGTTGGGGAAGACTGAAGGCAAAAGGAGAAGAAGGCGGCAGAGGATGAAATGGTTAGACAGTGTCTTGGATGCAATGAACATGAATTTGGGCAAACTCCGGGAGGCAGTGGAGGATGGGATCACAAAGAGTCAGACACAACTTAGCAACTGAATAACATTTCTCTCCAATCATTCTTATCTTCCCTGCCTTCCATTAAATACTAATGGGAAGACTACTGTAAGGAACTTTCTCAGATTGGGAAGTGTGTATGGCAAGGGAGAACTCAGAGTCATGATCAGATGTGCAACAGAAAATATCAATACTATTGTTGTTATTGTTGTATTATTGTATTGTTTTGAACTGCATGGTATTGCTGTTGTTCCACTATTAATAGCTCCAAGAAGAAGATATTTTGACAACCAAGGAGAACAACTTAGGAAGAAAAAGTATGAGAAATGACAAACAGATTTTGGCAGAATATTGGATATTGCTCTGCCATGGAAGAGCTGTGTTCACTCCTCCAATTAAGTGGACTAAGAAAGTATAATGGGGGAGAGATGCTTTTATCTCCCTGCTTTTATCCCAATACCTGCAAGTTTTAATCATGAAAAGTATAGCATGGTGGGGAAAAAAATGGACATAGAAGCCGTGTTTCCAATGGTAGACATATTTACTTTACGGTACATTGGCGAGTCTAAACCACTAGGCTCACGCAGGCAAAGCCAAGATAATTATAGCAAACTAAAAACCACTAATTTCTAAACACACATAGACACAAAATTACAGAACCTTCAGAATAAGGTAGAAAAAAATAAACCTTTTTATGCAATGGAAGAACGTTTAACCAAGCCTTAGAAAGCCACACATTTTGGGTGATAATTAGAGAGAACCTGAATGCAGAAAGGAATATATTATGGCTCTAAAAGCTTCAAAACATCCTTTCAAGGCTGCTTTATGAACCAATACAGACCTTGCTTCTAAAAAGAGCCCCCTGGTGGTGCAGTGGTTAGAATGCAATATTGCAGGCTAACTCTGCCCATAGCCTGGAGTTCGATCTTGAAAGGCTCAAGGTTGACTCAGCCTTCCATCCTTCCAAGCTTGGTAAAATGCGGACCCAGATTTTCGGGGACGATATGCCGACATTGCAAACTGCCCAGAGAGTGCTGCCAAGCACTATGGAGCGATATATAAATCTAAGTTGCTATTGCTATTGCTAAAAAGCAAAACAAAGCCGCTACTTTATTTTATTGTCCATCAGCTCCTCATACGGAGCTCCTCTAATAGCTGGACAAAGCTACTGTATATGCGCTGCGTTTTAGCAAAGATCACCCCTCTCACTCAGGCCTGGTATCTCTGTTCTGTAAACCCTGGATCCACTTAAAATCCAATCTGAAAACTCCATTGCCACCAACCAATTCTCTTCCTTCAAGCTATTAACCGAAACAAGACAAGAAAATGTTGATGCTGCCATTAGCACAGAGGATCAATTCCAATGTCAGCGTTTTAGCCAGATGCCCTCCCTGGGAATGAGCATTGCTTTATCTATGCAATGTGGCCAATTGCTCTTTTTCTTCATTTAACCACTCGACAGGAAGGAAAAATAGTAATGAAATATGCCAAGCTTGCATTGTTGGTTACAGGCTGACTTTCCTTGTTGTTGTTGTTGTTGTTGTTATTGTTTCTTCTTCTTCTTCTTCTTCTTCTTCTTCTTCTTCTTCTTCTTCTTCTTCTTCTTCTTCTTCTTCTTCTTCTTCTTCTTCTTCTTCTTCTTCTTCTTCTTCTTCTTCTTCTTCTTCTTCTCCTCCTCCTCCTCCTCCTCCTCCTCCTCCTCCTCCTCCTCATTTACAGTTTTATTGATCTCAGGTAAGGGATATGAATGGGATATTCCTGTGGTCTTCTGGGATGAATCCTACATAACGTATATATGTTTTTATTTCTGATGCACAACTATGGCTAAAACTCAACAAAACAGGTTACCAGGGCACCACTCCATTGATTTCATGTCCGCTTATTCTTCCCGAGCAGGGCTGAATGCTTTATCTATAATTCAGAAGGCTACAAACCTGCTGGGTCCTGAAGGACTTGGCAGGTCCTGAAGGAGATGCTAAACTATCATTCTGCAGAGGTAGGAATACTGTTTCAGTTGTAGCAACAAAGGAGGTCAAAAAGTCTCTGTTTTGTCAGGCTTGTGTCAGAAACACAGCCAAGGCTATCGCACAAAAAGTGCCGGCTTTTGGTATCTTGTAAGATTCCAGTCAACATCTTCCCAAAATTCAATACACTGAAGTTCAGGTTCCAGCTGAACCAACAGTGACATTGCTGTGGCTTGACTTAATCAAAGGCATTTATTATGTTTTGCTAAGTTACAGTATTTAAATCTTTCTTGGTCAAGAGGAAAACAGGGTCATATATAATCTAAGCATATACATAATGTTTTTAAAAAAAGGTTTATTTCATTTATATACAGGTAGTCCTTGACTTATGACCACAACTGAGTCCAAAATTTTTGTTGCTAAGGGAAAGATTTGTCAAGTTGAGTTTTGCCCCATTTTATGCCCTTTCTTCCCACCGTTGTTAAATAAATTAACTGCCGCTGTTAAGTTAGCCACACAGTTGTTAAGTGAATCTGGCTTCCCCATTGATTTTGCATGTCAGAAAGTCGCAAAAGGGGATTACGTGACTTTGGGACACTGCAACGGTCATAAATATGAACCCGTTGCCAAGCGGCTGAAGTTTGATCACGTGACCCCTGGGGGACGCTGCAAAAGTCGTAAGGATGAAAAACGGTCATAACTCACTTTTTTCACTGCCGTTGTAACTTTGAATGGTCAGTAAATGAACTGTTGTAAGTCGAGGACTGCCTTTATTTGTTTGCTTATTTGATACTACAGTATTACATATTACATGTTCACTTATTTGTGAACATGTAGAAAAGTAGGTGCTTTCTAAACCACAGTGTCCTGCAAATCCTCAGTTATGATTTCTTCAGCAAAAAAAATATTAAGCAACCCAGGACTTGCTAGGTCTGAATCCGGCCTCTGATTCATTTTGATGGTGCACAGACATTTTTTTACCAACCGACGCTGAGAATCTCCAAGAAAGTTTTTGAGATTCATCAGAAAGACCGAACAAAGCAATGAATGAGCCTGCACAATTTACAGGCTCATAGATTAATATTCATGTTATAACTTGAAGCGGTAGTAGATCAGTAGAAGTAGTAATAGCGGTTTATTAATTGATTAGCCTTATGACCAGCTTAAATAATAGATCATTAGTCAATACATTTTTAAAATAAAAAGTGCATAGGAAATTTGCCATTTCTAGCTTCAGCGCTAAATTACTTTTATGGGTAACCCGACTGAGAGCACCCAGTGTAATTTCGTATATGGCAGTTTAAATATCCAACTCTTTGACTCTTTGACAAGAAAGAAGAGCAAAATTTTCTAGGAGACAGTCAGAAACATATGACATCCTGTAAATTCTTCTCAGATTAATACACTGAAAGGATCAGCTGCTACTTTCAAAGAACTTGTCAAGGTTTTCCTGGGTCTATATTAGATATTTAATTGCTGACAAAAGGCTTGTCCAAAGTCAACTAGCCAGTTTCCATAACTGAAAGTGGCCTTGAACCATGGTCTTTCCAGTCCTAGTTCTAGCATTTTAACCACAAAACTGTACTAGTTCTCTGTTTCACACAGCTAATTAATTAGTTCCTTATGTACTGAACAGAGGAATGTGAGATGTCTCATTTAGTCAAATGCTCCAGTTGAAATCAATATGATTTGAACCTTCAAATTGATTCAGATGTCTAGACCTCCAACAGGAAATGCAATTTGATCCACTTTAGGTTACTAAAATTCATGGGTGCAGAAAGAGGTCTCAGTTGTTTCAGACTGATGAGCTATTCTGAACTGTGGGTCAGATAATTCCACTCCTTGAATAATCCACTCCTGTTGTCATTTTGAAAATTAGTACAATTTGGTAGGGAGGGTTTCTTGGCAACTTAAAAGCTTTGGAGGCTCCTCTACATAAGAATATCCCAACCTTGAAAAGTTTCCATGTGGGTAGACTTCAAATGCCAGAATTCCATTGGATATGAGTTCTAGGAGCTGAAGTCCACTCACAAGAAATTGCCAAAGTTGGCAAATGCTTCTGCTCTACCATGTATTGAATCTGCAGATTAGCTATTGTTTCAAATGGGAAAACTTTTAAGACATATTTCAGAAGAGGCAATGACATGTCACCAGCATTTTTCATTGCAGCCACCCCTTTTTAATTATCCCTTCTGATTCTCCTCCTTCTACTTGCAGGTAGAATGAAAACTTACAGAGATTTACTCTTCCGAGCTTTTGGATTCATTCATATTATAGCGATGCTCCAGTTGAATCAATATGATTTGAACATGACTGCTTTGGGTTGTTGTGTTTATGTGGTGCCTTCCTATTGGCTGATTGGTGTGTTGATGGCTGGCAATTGGCTGTTGTTTCCTTGCGCTGCCAAGTCCTCGGCTCCTAAGTACTTGATAAGCTGGTGGTAAATCGGCACTCCTGTTAACTGACATGGGGCTCATTTCTCAGGCTTCAATCATTTCCCTGGCTGTTTTTGTGCCTGCTCGACCAACAGTCTTAGTAGTTGCAAAATTGAATGTACTGTATGTCATTGTTTATTGCAATGTGAGGCTACCAATGAGTTTGAGTTTTCTCATCTGATCACTCGCTTGTGTTCTTGCAATCTGGTGGTTAGCTTCCTTCCTGTTTGTCCTAGTCACCTGGGCAATCACTCAGGGGATCTGGTAGATCACATTGGAAGTATCAATCACCAGCCATCGACACACCAATCAGCCAATAGGAAGGCACCACATAAACACAGCTCACAGAACAGCCCAAAGCACATATTTCAGTAGAGAGAAATTCCCTGAAGATGGGCTCCAGCATGAGTCCAAAAGTTTGGAAGAGTAAATCTCTGGTTCTGGTGACCGACCCAAATTCATTATCCTGAGACACATATATTTGCCTTCATTCATGAAAACTTACAATTCCGTAAGCCTCAGCGTCTTGAAGAGTAACCACGAAAGAGTGGTCAGCCGGTTACCTGAGAGATTTCTGGGGATGAAAAGAGAAAGGATTTACAATTAATCAGTCTCCCCCCTCCTCTTTGCAACTTCATTCCCCTCTGCAAGCAGATAGTGCAAGTTGAAATAAACAAACAAAATTGTTAGAATGGAAAACATTACAAGTTTGGAATGAAACCAGAATTCCCTTTCCATTTACATCCTAAAATAAGAGCAATAAAGTCGAGGGGAAATCGACAGTATGTGAAATGCTCTCTCTGAGCACGGATAGCGATGCCTATTAAATTAGGAAGAATCTGTAGCTGCCATTTCCCAGGATTAATTAGCAATCTAATTTTAAAGGGGAGTAGAGCCAGTAAATAAGCAAATATTGATCAAAATAGCATATATTCCAGCCATTTTGCATTTTTAAAGCAGAATTGAACATCCAGAATAATCCAGAATCTGTTTATTTGTACATCAGAATCCAGCAACTGATAGAAATTATCCAGATTAGTAACTATGTATTACTTTATGGCTTTTTCAAAACCTATTTCATTCTGAAACATTTACTATTCCAGATAGTGGAAGCAATTCACGTACATTTCATTACTCCTAATCCATTGTCAATATATGAGCAATAGACAGTAATAACAGTTCACAACTAAAGTTATCTATTATAAATAATATATAGTTATGTCAATGGGTAAACACATAAAGTATATAAATATCTGGATATAATATGAACATTTATGATCTTTAAGCCTTTCTCTCTTACTCATTCTTCTCTCAATCTTCATAAGGAGACAATACTAACATAATCTTCAAGGTTGTTTCATTAATTCAAATATAATTATTAAGTTTCCTACATCACAGTACTGACCAAGGTGATCTGCTTTGTGTTTAGCATTAGGTGTCAAATGACTCAGTTATGGCTTGGGGCTATCTGTGATTCTAGTCATTGTGATTAACAAATCATGGTTAACAAAATCATAGCTTAAAAAAATGTGTAAATCCAATCAAGAAAGGCAAAGCTATGAGGAAAATTAATGTAATAGAGCATAATATAATATAATATGGTATAATACAGTAGGGTAAAGGTATCATATGGCGTAGTAACCAGACCAGTTTACCAGACTGTTAAATTCCGTAGACTTTGCATGCATGGATTAATTTTTTGCTATGTGATAGCTCATTTGCATAATAACATAACTGACATTTGAATGATATAATGTGCATCAATTACATCATTTGTTTAGTGCCATCATCATGCAAGTTACAAAAAACAATTAATGTAAATTACGTACATCACCCCAATGATATTCACTCTCCAATTTAACCATCAGTAATTAAAGTCATACAAAAGTAGAAAGCAAACATGTTCTCCATAAAACAAGAAGTTCCTGCTTGTAGCAATAAGACGTTTGTGGGCAGACTTTATGTTGAGGAGTATATTTCTAGGATCTTTGGCTTTCTGATTCTCACACTACAATGTGTGTAGTCCAGCGCAAACCTTAGTATCTTAAAACTAGAGGAGACCATAATGACATGAGAGAGAGAGAGAGAGAGAGAGAGAGAGAGAGAGAGAGAGAGAGAGAGAGAGAGAGAGAGAGAGAGAGATGCCTAAAATTGTTTCTCGCATCTTTGTGTTATTCACGCTAAGACTGTTGCCATGGCAACCCGAGATCAACTTTATCATAAAGTCCCCACTCCAGCTGAGAAAGGCATAACTCCTCCCCTAAAGTGTGAAATTTATTTACCCCAGGAAGTATTTATAAGCCAGCATCCTCCAACTGCCCCTCCCCTTTACTCTTTCTCCAAGACATTTTGGGGAAATAAATTGTTTAAAGGAGAGAAGGAAGAGGAGAGAAAGAAATTACAGTAAAGGATATTTCATTTGCACAATGCAGTCAGTTTAAACACCTTTGCTGTTGTTGACCCATTATATAAGGCTTCTGTACATAATTATTTTAAAACATTAAGTATATGATGTAAGGATGCATGCCAGACAATATTAAAAAAAAATTGGGGACGGTACTCCCTTACTGGCCTTTTTTATAGATTTATTTAGAAATAGCCTTAAAGAAATCCCACCCGTTTTCATTCACAAATTTCTGCAATGTGTTAACTCTGTTACTATTTGATGTAAATTCATGAAGATTTTTTTTTCTTTTATGAAACAAATATTCATATCTCTCCCATAGAGATATTTTCAGCATACGTTTACCAGGTTCTTATACTGATACTTCTTTTAATGTTCAAGTTTCCATGGTATACACTTTTTTCCAATGGGCCTGTCAAAAAATATTATTGTTATTCTTGTTGTTTTGTTGTCATCTGAAGAAAGGTAAACCCTAATGGACTCCATTCAATATTTAGATAAATCTCAAATTCAGTCCCACACATACCCTTGAAATTTTCCCTTTATATTATAAGTTTTGACCCAAAGTTGTTTTACACATACACCAGAACAGTAATACTTCTATGCAAGAATGCTTCGGCGTTATGATTTGAATAAAATTCAGAACAGCAAAGAACTCCTTTGATATACAGTACATACGATGCAAAATTATTATGTAGCTTCGTTGAGCAGATTGTATATGAATCATCTGTAGTGTTTCTGGCATAAGGGAAGAGTGTGAAATCATAATGTGGTTTGGGGAAACATATTACGAGAACCCAACCACAGTGGTTGATAAACCACGATCAGCAGCTTAGCACATGATCTGAAGCCAACTGTGGCTTGTTCAAAAAAAAACACATGACTTATTGTGCTGCTTGAATCAGCTTGCTCTCCCTTGCAGTACATAGACATGGACAGCTTCCTAATCTAAACCCTTTATTCATATTGCATTGCCAATGTGTACTATATTATATTTCTCCCCAAACCATCCATATTTCCACTGTTCTCTCACTCACGCTGTGTCTCTCAACACATGCTTCCTAAGAGTTACACAAGCCACAGGGTTCTTCCCCTCTTTCACCTGAGCACCATTCTTTCCCAGCTCTACTGCATGTTATAATGCCCTCTTGTTGTGACCTTGTTTGCTGCCACAAATGGCAAGGTGCGTGAATCGTGAGCAAGAAACCCAGAGGCTCATTAAGGGCACGGCCTGTTAAAGGAAATGCTCGGAGCCAGGAGAGAGGGAGTCACGAAGCAAGCCCTGGGAAGCCGAGGCCATGACAGCCCACAACAAGATCACCATTTAACTCTTTGCACACACCAAGCCACCAGCTGCTACTCTGGGTCCTGCTCAAGGCTCAGGAGATCCAGAGAGACCGGAAGTCTTCGGCGTTCAAAGTCTCCCTGTTCAGGGAGAACATCTACGCATTGGGGAAGAAGCTACAGTTTGATCTCAGTTTGCAGAGATGGGACTGCAAGACTGAGATGAAGGGAAGCAGAAATAGCCCCAAACTAGTAAGTTTTTGTGCCTGTCCTGAAAGTTTTTGTGAAAAGAAGAATCAAGTTGTCCACCTGACTGTTTTCTGTTCCATTTCCCAAGCATTAACTTTTAAATTAGGTTCTCACTAAGTCATCAGGTGGTGTGTTCAGTTTAAGGTGCTATGTAAACTATACCATTATGGTCTTCGAAGTCCATCCAATGTATAATGCATATGTACATTTACTAACGCTGCTAACATCGGATGTTCTTGCTTTGACAACAGATGAAAATGCAGCCATTTTCTCTATGCTTTTAGAATTAGTTGTGCTGGGAGGGGGGATCGGGATGAGAGTTCAGTTAGTCATAACAATAATAACTCTGCCGTGGGAATCCAAGGACAAACTGGGTCCAGAGCTGGTAACGTTTTGGCGGGCTGGAGAGCTGGGGAGAACGCCCAGCGCTTCAAGCTAATTGGGGAATGTGCTTTATGACTGTTTATGGGGGGTGGGAATTGTACTGTAATTGTAATTGAATTGTAATGGGTGGAAGCTGGTTAAGGAAACATCCAACCTAGGAGAAATTTTCTGATAGTAAGAACAATCCATGAAATACGTTGCCTCCTGGAGTTGTGAGTGCTCCACCCCTGGGTTTTTGTTTTCTTGTTTTGTTTTGTTTTTAAAATAGACTGGACAACCATTTGACAGGTTGTCTCCTGTCTTGAGCATGGGGTTGGACTAGAAGAGCTCTGAGGTCCCTCCCAGTCCTATGATTGTATGGTCTAGTGCACCAATTGAGTGTGCATCAACCCCATCATTCAAAAAACACTGTACTATTGGTATTTTCTTTTATCCTTTTACCAAGCAGGTGGACACACTTCCAAACAAATCAAACCGGCTGTCCATCTTGTTTACTTATTTTAAGAATGCTTAGAAGAACCTAGAAATCGCTTGAAAATAAAGAGCTGCTGTCAGCTTTCCTTGATTCTTTTATAAAAGTGAAAGATCAGGTAGGGCACAGACCCATCAAGGGAGATATCCACATTGATACTTCTGAACGGCATCCTAGGGTTTCTAATTTTGTGAAGTGATTCTCCACATTTCCTGTTTACGATATATCTATGTGCGTACGCATGCATTCAGCTAGCTGCTAACTAGGGAGATAGGCAGCGTCAGAGCTAGAAGAATGAAGAAAATAAAACCTTATAACAAACCATATCAAATCACTTCCAATGTATTTTCTGTAGAAAACAAACAAGGACCGCTCACTCAGGTGGCATGCGGGAACGTACTCTGTGCTCCGATCTCTGGCAACAGTTTGTTTGCATTTTATTTCAAGCTTCTGAGATTTTCCAGAGGAATTTTCTCCTTGAAAATCCAGAGCAATTGGAAGTTTAGTGTGAAGGGAAATGGCATGTTTGTTTTTCCCTCAATTAAGCGCCCGCAAGAAAGGCTCCACTATTAAGAGGCATTTTTATTCAGCTAAATTAAGCCAGATGCCTCATTAATGACACTTACCCACAAGAGCCTCTGTAATTAAGCTGCAAGCTATATTATTGTGATCAGTCCTAGGCAATGGCAGTAGGAGATGATGCCTGCTAGGAAGGCGCCCTTAGCGTCCTCTCCTCCTAGGGATGGTGGGTTTGTTTGAACATCAGCAACAACAAAGACCC